GTGGTACAACCAGCACTGACAAAGGTAATAAATGGAGGTTAAGAATGATGTGCTGCTTTACAGCGATTGTATCGTCATGTAATTATCTTTTACTGGACTTGGCAAGGTTGTCCTTTAATTCAGTGACATATCAACCTTCAGCAGCTGGATTGAAATGAAGACAATAGTAGATGTAAGGTTATTTTCATAGAAAAGTATACTGTATTTACAATGTATATAGAAAGAAATCTTAAAAAGCAAAGTGTTCTTCCACAGTCCTCCACCCGTATTGTTGAAACATGATCATTATATGCTTCTACATGTTCCTGATTCTATTCCCTTTGCAAGGCAGCGCCTTTAGTTAATCATCTGTAGTTATATCGCACACCAGCGCCTGGAGAACGTGGAGACATTTGTAGCAATTAGCTTGTTCTAATGTAATGTTTTGGTCCTAATGTTTCATGCTGCAGAGCTGCAGTGTGTTTTCATTCCAGCCTCCAGATGTATATCCCTGCTATGCTACTCGTATTGGATACACGTTCAGGAATGCAGGTCCCCTGAGTTTTTGCGTTATGTTCAAGTCATGCAGACATCTGTTTGAGGAAAAACACCATCCATTCAGATACTACCGAGGAAGGAATGAATTTACCACTCTTAAGAAAATAAACTGAAACATTACCCCCTCCACTCTGGTGATATGACAATGAGCAGTTTGTCAGTCTAAATCATACTTTTTCTGAGAATTGTGAATTCCACAGGGCCACAACAAAATGAGAGTGGTGTCTGCTAATTTCAGCCTTTCTGAGTGGTGAATACCACTTACAATAGTAAATTAGCTGTTTAGAGTGCCCACGGAAACCAAATCTCACTCTGGTTGCACCACTTTTGCTGTTTCAATAGACCTTTCTATAACAGCACAGAGTATAACTGTGGTTTCAATAACACTGGACAGGACAATTTGATTTATGGAAAGGTTTCTAACAATTTCCTCCTGAGAGCTTTATGGATGGATGTGTAATTATTTCAAATCTTTTCTTGAGACTTTAAAGTGACGTCTCTCTCTTACCGTTGAGGTCTCTCAATTTTCTGATGGCACTGCTGGGTGCTGTGTCTAATGGACAGATCCTGGTTCTTTCTGTAAGTACTGTGCCGCACTGCTGCCCACAGCTAACCTCCTGTTCAAAATATTTCCTCAGAAATTAAGTGTTATTCTCATGTGAACACCACACAAGCATCTGCTGCCAGGAAGCAACACGCATTATCCCCCTGACCAAACATCACACATCAAGACACACACAGAAAAGTCTAAATGTGGGTGCAAACACATCACCACCGACTGGCTTTAGATGTGGGTAACTGTAATTATAATCCAACAGCCTGCATCTCTCCACTTCTCAAATATGACAAATCATGTTTCCCCTCCATCCCTCCGTACACTAAAAACAGAGTGTTTGAAGGTGTTGCTTCACAGTAATAGCTCTTGTAAATCAGTAACATCTGACTAAAGTCCCTCTTGTGGACACAGGTAGACTAGCACTGTCCTTCAGGTGACATCTTGCAAGTGCTTTTATATAACTCATTACATAAACTCGTTAGAAAGCTTTAGTGCAGACATTAGCAATATTTGTGATTAATTCGCTCCTGCTCGATAAAAGATCAACCTCCCATTTATTACATTAATTTCAAATCTCTGGCTCATAATGAGCAATCTCATAATCTTATAATTATAGAGGAAGTTGCTGTCAGGCAAATAGCAATAAGCTTCAGGCGAAATTCAACTTAGATGCAAAGTGATCTCTAATCAGAGAATCAGTTCATCCACCTCAATGTAAATGAATGCAAAACTCTCACGCTGCAGCAGGACGTTTCCACTGCATGTTCACTCTCTGTAATAGATTTGTCCTTTCAGTGAACTCTGCCCTCTATCTCCAGCGCCGAGCCAGTGTTGTCTGTTATATTTCTGAAAACAAGGTGAATCACCTTCTTCTACCTGACAAAGGAATTCATTATCCTTTCCCCCCAGAGGACGCAGAAGTGGTCTTCTCAAATGTGTTTGTGGTATGGCTACGCTCCAAAGAGGAAGAGTCTGCAGTGATGTGCTAACAAGGACGAGACCGACTTCCAAACTCATGAATAAACTCTCAATTCCCGTCTTCAGTTTCAGTGGAGGCGCACCAAATGCCCCCCCAGCATAGAGAAAAAGCACAGGGAGGCAATAAATGCAAGAGCAGCAACATATTCATGGCGAGCATGAATATCAGCTCAACATCTGTCTCAAATCGTACATTGTTCAGATTGTTGTTTTCGTCAGTCTTTTTTTTTTTTTAGGAGTGCTGACACAACCAATAAGTAAGCAAGCTGGCCTTTGACACACTGTTTTCCACACCTAATTTGCAGGGAGGAGAACCAGTCATCTTCCTGGAAACTCCTTCACTGTAACAGAAAGAGATGCTGAAGGTATAAAATCAACGCTTCATATGGCTAATGTGTAATGTATGCCCTTCAGGGACTGAGATGTTGATACTGATTGATTGTGACAGCAGATAATAGCTCATTCATTAAGCCGTTACATTCATATTATCTTTCCATTACAAAGACTATTGGTGCAGCTGGCAGGGACCCATATTTGGATTCCCCTGCAGAGATAAGGTGCCAAGCAGCTCGACATCATGCCCAACTGACAACTCTCTGGGAGAAATTAGGGTTAAAGCCCACAGACTGCCAAAGACAACCAGAACGCAGAAGAGAGACACAAAGAGGCCTTTTAAGAGAAGTGATTTGACATAACATGCAAGGAAAATACCACAAATCTTTTACTAATGGGAGAACTAATGGGGTGATTTATGCTTGGCACACACTGACACCTGTAATGAAGTGTATATATCCGAGGGCAAGATGAAGAGCATGACTTGAATCGTTTTTGAAGCCTGAGGGAGTTTGTCTGTCCAGTGTTACCGAATCGTTTCCTTTTTTTTCTTCTTTTACAATCCCTATTACTCCACAGTCTTATCATCAGGACAATTCAGCTTCCTAGTGTCTGAATCTGTCTGTAACAGTCAAGCTTTGCACTGGGTGAAGAGGCGTGAGGCCTCCATGATTAATGATAGCTTAGAGTCCCACACATCATCCTCTGTATGCCGGCACGTGCAGCTGCAAGTTAGTGGACTCCGAGCCAACATCAGCAGTCTTGGGAAGAGGAGAATGGAGAATTAGGTCAACAGCAATCATTACCTGCACTTTATGTCAACAACACAGGTAGTTTATCTCCATGTTAAATAGATTAAAGAAACAATGGTGTCATCATTACGCATGGTTCAGGAAAATGCCACCGTGATAAAAGAACAACACAGATGTGTCATTTGAATATTCTGGGTTTATATTTGGACAAAGTACGCACCAAATTTGACTACAATACAGGTTGGTTAAATAGGATTGATGGGATTTGCCTTTGTTGATGTTAGGGAGTGTAGAAAAATTATTTGGGATGGGAAGAAGAGCTTAATGTTATAAAAACAGGACCCTCCTTTGTGATATCGTGATATTATTTTCTTTGGAGCCTTCCCTCGGAAAAAAAAAATCCACCACCCTTCCACCAATATCCCAGAAAACAAATGACTAAACAGGCAAAATTTAACAATGAAATTAAATGACGTACTACGCTTTAAACATTAATATGCTTTATGGAATAATGATTTTCACAACAGACACCAATAAGCTCATCGGAAAGAGTGAAATAAGCACTTGGCAGATTTATGACATTTAATTGTAGACAGTAGGTAATAAGTGTAAGCTCCAATGATGTGTGTGTGTTCAGACTGACAAAAACAAGTGTGCATTAATGATGTGATTATATCAGTAATATTCAAACCTGTGACACTAAACTGTGACCAAACTAGTGAAAAAATTTGACAACATTTCGTGCTGAACTTTATATAATGAATGACATTGTAAACTAACTTTATTTTAAGATATTTTTTCAGCATTTTCTACTTTATTTGATAGCTATAACTCGGGAGAGAGGGCAGCTAAGAGCCTGGGCTGGATCAAACCCAATCCGCTGCATGGTCTCTATCAGGTGAGCCACCAGGGAGCCCCATTGACTAACTTTATATCACACATTGAAACTGGCTAATTCTATAATGACGCATTCATATTCTGTGTTTCTCTGAATTACATAATGGTCATACTAGCTAACGGGGGGGAAATCTAGTCCCAATTAAAAGAAAGGATGATGAACCTCTGCATGTAGCAAAGCTCACCTTTACGTACCGTGTACCTACCTGTAAGTATTTCATCATCTGTCCCCAAACATTGTACAATAATTCTCAGAAGGGAAGGAAGAAATAAAATATAAATCTGGCAGGAGGACAAGAATAAATCCCACCCCCATCTTCCCCCAATAATTTTGTTACAGTCCCTTGCCTGTTATTTATGGAAGCAGTGTTTCATGCCACAGAAGGATTGCAGCATGTTTACAATATGGGAGGACAGGGAAAAAAACAATGGAAAATAATTTAAACATAAGACAACTCATCCAAAAAACATTTTATCGCATAAATTAGATGCAGCTGTTTATATGTAATACAGCATGTGGCTCATAATCAGTCATAGTGGTGATTGGTTTCACCTACTTCAGTCATGATGGGTGATGAGTAGATGGAAAGGGTGTTTTATATACGTATATTACATATATTTAATAGCCTGTAACATACAGTAATTGTAGATGTAGTTTTAGAAAGTCCATATATGGTAGGCTTACTGATTAAATAAAAAATATTTACATTTACATTTTGTTTCTTTGGGGTCATAATAAGACATATTGGCTATATTCTGCATGTCGAGCTGTAGGATCCTCAGTGTTGGCCGCTGTTAAATGATTTTATCAATTAGTAGTGGAGAGACCAGGACCACGGTCTTGAATCCTGCCTTCTGATTGGTCCACACGCAGAACTCGTAATGTTCAGCGCTCCCATATAAACCCATGCAGACTTGACTATGCTATCTGTCATGCAAGTCAAAAGGATAGTGAGGAGTCCAGTGTAAAGACCTTGCTGGCAGCATACTTGTAATAACCTACGTGTGTTGTGTTTTCGGCGCTGCAGAAGCTTTTTGGAGCGTCATTCTTTATGAATTACACACAGAGCAGGAGGCGTCTCTTTACATTTAGTTGTCTTATCTGTGTTGAGAGGACGATGCCTTTGAGGACCGGACTTTTTCTCCTGATGGTGCTGAACGCATCTGCATATGAACTGGATCAAAACGAGTCTTATTCGCCCAGGAGAACACGCTTTTCTGCCAATAGCCCTTGTAAGTAACGCGCAACCTTCATCTGCATATCTCAGAGTGCACTGCTTGCTTCTTCTTTTTTTTTTAAACACACCATTTTCATAATGCACAGGCTTTACCTTTGCTCGAATACTATGTGGAGATTTTTTTCCCTCATTATCTTTTTTGGCCTATGCAGCCTTTTGTGTCTTAACGAGCGCGTTGATTCATGGAGAAGGCTGCGGGATTAACGCTGTGGTTTTTGCCGGTGTCCTGCCGGCAACAGATGAGCATGGAGCTTGGTGCTGACACCTGAGAGTGCAGGCTGTGTCATGCTGGTATTCTCATGCTCGCTTTGGCTGCTGCATACTGTAGGTCCCACTATTCAGCATTATAGTGGACTTGAGGGTTTTTTTTAGTGCATAAAACATAAAGCTTCCTGTGCAGCCTTCCTGTGTAGCCTTCAAGTCAGTGAAACATTGTGTTTCATTACACTGTTTGTCACTGAGGCACATAAACGCAACCGTATTAGTTCACATCTCTTAACCGTCAAAGAAAAGAAAAGCCTGAGTCATAATCCCATGTAATAAGCATCAAGAAATGACACTGCAAAGCATGAATCTGCATGGCTTCATTCAAATGTTGACTTTTCCTTTTCAACACCAAGGTACAGCCCGGTGATAAAAGGCAGTGGGAGAGAGGGATGCTGATTCCCTTCTGCAGGAATTGCTTCATCATCATAAGATTTGCAGCTCACTCTCTTGTATTTTGAGAGCAATCTCTGGTCCCTGATGGCAGGCAGACTTTATCTGACTGTGCAGGTCAACATGGGGCCCCAGATTCGAAGTCTGCCAAGTAGGCTTAGGCTCCGCGGTGACATTTCTTAATGGTTATTACAAAGGATTTGAGTCAGGCTGCTTGCCATCTCAGTGAATTCTTGGATGAAGAATAAGGGAAGCCAACTATCTGGATACACTGATTTACAGATTATGTTTTATAACTCATTCTTGGTGTAAAATTTCAAGTCGGTTGCAGTCGGTTAGAGCTGTGTTCTGTATGGCGGAGATCAGTTTTTGGAAAATGGAATGAAGGATGTTGCAGAGTAGCTGTTTCATAGGGTACACAAAGATGGGGATCAGGGTTGCTTGTGGGTTAATCAGCCTAATAACTATTCCAGTCATGTGACGCTCCTGAAATGAATATGGCAGCATTTTCTGAGCATGTATCTCATTGTGTAGATGTTCATGGGATCATTTCTGGGTATTTAACCGGACTGTGACATGTGCTTAGTGAATAGTTAAGGACATTAAAGTGGTTTGGAGGAAGAGCCCTCAAATTCAGCTTGACAATTACGGCTTGTGTTAAAAATTGAACACAGAGTGTGATGGCAGTGTGTGCATGTGTATGTGAGTGTGTGTGTGTGTGTGCCAGTGGTACAAGTGTATATTTGTGTGTGTCTACAGGCACGCCAAAAATTTTCAGTAAACTCTTTGGTATTTCTGGTGCTGTTCATCCAAGCTCTGCTGAAAAGAACCAAACAGTGGAATATAGGTCCCTGCCAAGAGAAAAGAGCTGTAGTGCCAAATAGTGTCTGAGACTCTACGAGTTGTAAGGTGTCCAATCTCCAGTCAAGTCACTATTTGCCCCGAGTGACTGTATGTCTTTTGTGAATCACCAAAGTATGAACATTCTCTTTTGTTCGCTGCATTTTTTAGCCGAAACCCTGGCAACCCTTGTGTAATGAGCTCAGTGAGTGTGCAGTGATTCCCAGTGAACCCACTGTTGGCTCCCCTGCTGATGGTTCATTCTCTGTGCCCACAGCAGATGTGGCACGCTGTCTCAACAGTGCCCTCCAAGTTGGCTGCGGAGCCTTCGCCTGCCTGGAAAACTCAACTTGTGACACAGATGGCATGCATGACATCTGCAAGTCCTTCCTATACAGTGCTGCTAAATTTGACACTCAGGTATATGCACTTTAATTCATCTCACAAAGACGACACACACACACACAGTATGCCATTCTCTCTCTGTTTCTGCCGTGCACATGAGCTTGTGTAGGATTACATGGGCGTAACTGTCAGGGCAAGAATGTGTGAAGCACTGCTGTGTTTTTACAGGGTAAAGCATTTGTGAAGGAGAGCCTTAAGTGCATTGCCAATGGCATCACCTCGAAGGCATTCCCCACCATCCGCCGCTGCTCCACCTTCCAAAGAATGATATCTGAAGTCCAAGAGGAGTGTTACAGCAAGCTGGACATCTGCACTGTGGCCCGATCGAATCCAGATGCTATTGGCGAAGTGGCACAGCTACCAAGTCACTTCCCAAATAGGTGAGCACTTCCTCTACTTCCTTTTCAGACACTTTAAAAACATGTTGATCGAAGTTATGAGCTGCTGACAGTAGTACACACTGTACTGGGCATGTCAGACTTTGAAGCTTATTATGTTCAACAGGCTCTCTGACCACAGAACAGATTTGAAAACAAGGGTGTATTTCAGCAGTAATCAGACAGTAAATATAGCTGCTAATTATAAGTGAATGAGACATATGTTTGAATCATTTTAAAAATCACAAATATACATGGCTGACATGTTGCAAATATCACATTTGAGCCTGATTTATGCAACACAACAGATGGCTACATTTGTATTGATTTCCATGTTTTGGTTACCATCTGCTTCATACATTCTTTCATACAATGAAGGAAAATCAAACAGGAATATCGTATGTTTTTTGTTCCTATTGTGGTTGTAATACATGTAGGATTGCAGTTTGGGAGTGAATACAAAAGGGCTGAAGCACAAGGCTTGGTTGTGACTGGAGAAGGGATGGTCACTCCCATATGAATGACGTCAGACTATAGAGCATGTGTGCAAATACATAGAAATACCCAAGGGCTTAGGTTTGTTTCAATACTTTGGGGGGACACATATGAAATGGGGGGTCTGTGAACACTTAATTTCCTGCATTCTGGTGAATTTTTTCATGGACCAATTTTTGCCTTTTCTGCATCGCCTTTTCTGCTACTTTCATATTTTTACTGGGGGAGACAAAAGCACGTTTTAAGTATTGAGGGGGACATGGTCACCGCATTCCCCCCAAAATCTACACCCACCTGTAAAGATTTGTACTGTTATCAGGTACAACAGGAACATGTTATTCCCTTGCTGCACATGTTTGTCCTTTTTGTCTCTTTCACTTCAGCTCCTCACACTCTGCGCAATGCTTTGTGTTGTTGTCCTAGGTTTTATGGTAAGCTGCTACAGAGCCTGATGGACTGTGATGAGGACACAGTGGACCGCGTTAGGACCAGCATGGTGTCGCGGCTGGGCCCAGAGATGACCATGCTTATTCAGCTGCTGCAGAACAAGCCCTGCCCATCCACTGCTGTGGCTGCAGCTGCCGCCATCCCAACTGGAGTGGAGGGCCGTGGGAGCTGGCGCTGGTCCATGGGTCCCCATATGTACAAGATCCAGCCTAATCTGCGAAACAGAGACTCTGCCAGTCATTTTGGCAAAAAGCGCTCAGCCAGTGACAGCTCCTAACTTCCACTCAGATTCAGAAACTCCACACACTCCTCAAAACATCACGAAAGCTCCTCTATTCCCTAGGGGTGATAGAAATCCATTCCTTCGCTAGACTGGAATTTACAGAAATATGCACCTCTAGGGAATGCCGGAACGCCCATAGAGTTGATATCAGAGTTTGATTGTTGTTATATTGTATATCCTACACTTTAGGCTTGAGAGAACCCCCCTTTCCATCGAGTACGCTCACAGTTAGTGTTGAACATGTGGCTGTTGCATATGTGCGACGTGGTCCTGTTCACTCCTCGTCACCTCCTCCAACAGAGATGAATCCTTAAGATGTCTTTTGATGCCAAGCAGAAAAAGAAAAAAAAAAAACACAGCCATAGTGGTTCACGCCTCTAGAGCACAAGTCCAGAATCTCATAATCTCAACATTTGTTCATGAATAGAAATCAGTAGTTGGATTATTAGTTAGTATTGATAGGAATGGGACATTATTGGTAGACGTATCTTAATATTTCAGAGGTGGGACCAGTCAAATTGTGAGCATGAGACGTGGAAATGAGTTTCATATCTATTTTCTGACTAACATAACAGTTAAATGTACTGTATACTAAGTTATCTGAGACAGCCATAGCTAGCCCTCTAAAAGAGAGTGCTCAAACGGAGTGAGGTCTGTAGAGGTTTCATGACAACCTTTGAGAGGTTACCTTAAACTGACCAAAAAACTTCAAACTGCCCTGAATGCTATTCATGAAATACCAAAATAGTGTATAGCTATAGCACTTATAATTGTTTTGTTTTGTTCCTGATGGCAGATGTAGCCATGGTCATGTGTTTCAAGTCATCATCCTGCACATAAGGATTGTCCAGGTCGTGGCCAAGTCTAACTATCAGAAAAAGTCCATTTTGCATATCTTGTATCCAGACACTTGTAATGCATATGACTGTTGAGCTCTACGGTATACAGTATGTGGGACCATGTTTAGTGGAATCTGTATCCATGTTCTTAACTGAGCGTGAAGCAGCCGTGTATGTGCGGTAGCTCATTAGCATGTTCACCGATGAGACTGAGAGCAGCCATCTTCTTGGACTGATGATCATCATTCTCTGAGGTGAATAACGTGACATACACGCTGGCTTCCTATGTCAAGATTGAGAGTGACTATTTAAAAAAAAAAAAAAAAGCCTTGTTGGAATGATATTTATTTTCCTACTATATTATTTAATGTTTTTTTATTTTAATGCATTATTGTAGTTTTAATTAGTTTACAGATTTAAAAAAAAAAAAAAAATAAGCAGTTCAGTCATGGCTCCTATTTGAACATGAGCTCTATGCCAAAAAAAAAATAGAAAAAAAAAAGGAAAAAAAAAGGTGAGCTGACACTCTGGTGACTGAATGGGACCCATGTCATGACTCTGTGCTGGCCATAGGGGAACACGGTCGGTCATTCAAGTCAGGTGATTTATTTTAGGGGTGTTACAAGGGACCACAACAAAACGATAGCTTCATTTTGACACACGTTCTGGGTGGAAAAAAAAAAAAAAGGTTGTCATAGCAGCTGCTAGATGTCCTTGTTCAGTGCTCGGGGTGTGTGCACATTATTGAAGACTGACCAGGTAAAATCACAGTAAAACAAACACCAGCATCAAGAGTTGTGATGGTTCTGCGCTAGTTTGCGGTGCTTTTCTTTGCATGGGCGGAAAATAATTTTCTTTTAAGGTATACTATGCAGGAATTGTTGGTTATTGTTTGTAAACACAAATTCAAAATTGGCCCCTCCCCCCTACACTGCTCGACACACACTGCAAGCTACTACTGTAGGAATGTTACCTTTGTTGTAATGGAAAAGCTGATTCTTTGGCAAGCTAACAAAGCTAACCAATCATCGCCCTCCTGTCCAAGAGAAACAGGCCAACTCTGTGTCGCTCTCCATCCCTATCCTCTTCTTCAGTGCTCACCAGCAAAGGTGAAAGTGACAGTCAACCCTGCATTTGGAACAAGCTTTGTCCACTTAGCATTTCACCTTGATATATTTGGGGTTTTTTTGGCACTGTGTCCACAATTTTCATAGCCTCCTCTTGGATGCATGCTGCTACTAACTGGTTGCTTTTTATAAAGTCCCGACCACACCTGCACGCTGTGCCCAGGAACACGCTAAGAAAAAAACAAGATAATACAGGCAGAGCACAGAGTCTCTGCAGATAAATACACTGACACACCTGACTCATAAGAAATGATTTAGAGGGATTACTTTTGTATGAGTCTATAGATTGTACTTTGCAGTTATTTATGGAGGAGAGGCTCATGCTCGTTACAGTGCAAGATGTTAATAGTCCTCCTTGGCTTAGCTGTAATGCTAGCTAGCTCAGTGGTGCTAGGTGAGCAAAGTTTCTACATAAAACTGCTCACAACAAGGTCTGTGGATTATCTTGCGTACCTGGCTCATGATTTCTGGAAAGAGACATTGCTATTGAATTTTTCTTTATTTTTTGGCGCTTTCAGCACCACAAGCCGAGTGCCATCCAGTTCTATTATATTCAAGAGAGGCCAGACATCTCTACGGCCGATATCTGCAACAATTAGCAACTTAAACCAAAACCATCTAAATAAATAGCACTACAGGTAAGGGGGAAAATATGTAGTTTTAAGTTTGGGGTGGACTCTCCCTTTAAGGGACCTTGTAACTGTACATCAATGTAATAAAATGTCCCGGTGGACTAAAGCCAATCTGCATTCACCCTCCCAAAACAACATATGAACGTCTTTTGCAAATAAGACTGCATGTTTCAGGGCCTTCAGATATCGAGACAATCATTCAGAATCCGTAGATTAGCTCAGAGCTGCAGTCACTTCATGCTGGTGTTTGTTTTACGGTTACCTGGTGAATAGATGCTGGTTTGACATAATCAATGGCTTAAGTTAGTTTCTGTTTGACAAGCAAATGCGTGTGCACATTGAAAATGTAATATAGAGATTAACTTGGAACCAGGGCTGGGTTCAGTTCACTGTTAAGCAGTTTGATGTAGAAAAATTCAAACCTTGGAAATCGGTCTTGAAAACAGTCAACAAAATGATAAAATATAGTTTTGACTTCATGACAGGAATTGAACCCAGTCCTGTTTGAAAAAAAGTGAATTTATATATTGTCCTGGACTGATAAGAGTGAAGCACAGACCAGAAAAAGAGATGTCAGTGTCAATCTAATAGCTATGTTAAGAAATCCAAACTATGCAATAATCTCACATACAAAGGATTCACAGCAACACAGAAATTGACCTTTATTTCATTCAGTGCCAGCTGATGCTGTGTGAATAAAGCGGCAGCGTGCATGCTCTCATACTGCACTCATGGTGTGGAGGCATCACTCCTCTATATTGCTTTCTGTTTCTGTGTTTTTTGTAAACTGGTGTTTCTTTTGAGCATTTCTTTTGTGTCATTTGGTGCGAAAGGACAGCAGTTCTGAAGGAATCACATGGGAAGTTAAGAGCTATAGTCACACTGTAGTGTATCCTAGCTTACTATTTTATGTTAAATATGCACTTTGCATCTTAACCACTATAAAGGGCATTGAAACATTCAGCACATGTGCAACTGAGACATGTTTTATTTACCCAGTGAATGAAAATCAGTTTGAATATTTCGCATCCTGAAGGGTCAGGGCTTCTTCATGTACTATTGATACATATGTCTGTATCTTTGTTGTCCATGGGTAAATCCAAAACCCAACAGCTGCTGCTAAACTGTTACTTCCCTGTAAGATGCTGTCCAGATGCCCCTCGACTGTGGCCGCTCTGGTTTGTCAACACACAGTGAGCTCAGCATCAGTCCACATTTACACGTACACATTTTATCGTCTGTCTTCATATTTATTTTCTATGAACATTCCTCGTGCCAAATATATTTGGCAAGGGCAAATTGACTGTTTCCTCACCAAGTCAAATGTAATGGTAATTTCAGAGAATGTACCTGTATACTGAATGTCTGTTTCGACGAGGACATGCCCAAGTTAGGTGATCCGTGAAGGCTGTTGGGGAAAAACAAAAGTGAGAAAACTATACGCAGCTTTCAGCTACTTTCTTTTAGATCTGAATACAAGCGTAGGGTGCTTAAGGTGGTACTGGAGCATTATTAAATTGACCCATGGTGAGTTTTGTTAAACTGTTTCTCCTGTCAACACTAGAGACAAAAGACTCCCTCACTTCTGGCACTTCATGGTACTCTTTCCTCTCAAGACTTGAAATAGATTAATGTTGTGCTTAAACTAAATCAAAAAGCTTCAGTGACTAGTAAAGTTTATTTTGTATTCATATATATAAGTGACAGTTATTTTACTATCAGATTCAAAAAGTTATCGAGGATTTAAGGAGGTTACTGAAGTTCCTGATACAGATGCTATGTAACGCATGATTGACCCTTGTGAATCACTTGCACTTTAAAATATACCCATATACATATATACCCATACTGTGTATATGTTTGGGTTTTTCCTCTGTACTGAAAAGTCATGAAAGATACAAATGCATCAATTGTGTGTCTTTTGCTGATCAGAAATAAAATATTTATCATATCTGGCATATGGTATGAAATATGTTGCTTTGCTCTTGTTTCACTCATTTGGATTCATCATCATTCACAGATTTGCATCACAGCCTGGTCTCACTCCCGGGGCATCCGAAAACACTGTGTGGGCAGCGTCCCCAGTGTCACCATAATGACGCCAGGGGTAACGTTAAACATCAAATTACACTGCGTGGGCAGTGTTCATGGCGTCACTATAATGACGCGGGTGGCAGAGTTTAGCATCTGTGTGAGACGCACCAGGCTTCCCACCAACTCCAATGTAAACCTATCTGCGTCACCATGAGACGGTTAAAGCAACAGACTTACTTTAAAGAGTGAATGTCTGCGCAGGGTGGGTGGGGAACAAATACCAGACCAGTGTTTGACACCAACAAACAACAACTTTCAAACACTCAAAGCTGTGTGTTTTGTAGCAACATCTGCAATCTTTTCCTAACCATAACCAAGTAGTTTTGTTCTCTAAACCTAACTGCCGGCCCCATCTTAAGGCTGTGTTTGTGCCACTCAAAGCTTGGTGTGTTTCAGCAGCATCCACCATCTTTTTCTAATAATAACCAAGTGGTTTTGTCGCCTAAACCTAACCACTGACCTCTTCTCACCACCAATAACTTCTGCATCAACAGACAACAAAAGGCTGCTCCCAGTGTCATTTTAGTAATGCCACTTTGCCAAGTGGCAAAATATATATGTAATCTAGCAGTTTGAAAAAAGTCCCTTAGCTCTCTACATTCTTCTCCATCAGCTGCCCTAACATATTCAGAAAAGTACGTCTTGGTTTATTGATCAGCAAACCCCAAAGCATGTTGTTTAATAGATGAAAACTCGACTGGTTAGACAAGCTTAAAGATGCAGTTATGGTCTGAGTACAGGTTCACAGTGTAAAGCAAAAAAATGTTTGAGATCATGTTCACGGGCCAAACCCACAAAACACATAAAAACAGAACTGGCACAATCTCATTGGTGCAAGTGTCAGATGTTGTGTGACCAAGTGTTGGAGTTTGTTTCCCAAAACATTTGTGCTAGATTTTCTGGATTGCTGATTCCCTTCAACACCACCCCTTCCACCAGATCACCAGATCTACAATACATGTGTCATCTATGATACCATGATTATATCCAGGTCTATTAGCATTTCTGATTCTGATGAAAAAGACTCAGTCCTCAGGTTGCCATCATCCCATACCCTCTGCACCAGCTTACAAAGAGCTGCACTGATGTCCATTTTAACTCTTAGACCTGCTTTAAATTCAAGACAAAGAAAATAAGTCAAAATTATTCTAAATAAAGTCATCTAACAGCCAATCCATGGACACTCTCTCAACTATAGACTTTCCAAGTGTCCCAATTTCCCACTTGGAGTATGTAGACGCAGAGCCTTCAGGTGCATGCTGCATCTGGGTGGGGCATATAAAATGTTATATGAACAACAGCAGCGAGTGACAGCATAGCTTTCAGGTGAGCTTTACTGCAATTACTGATTTTCTGAAAGAGGTTATGGATACAAATCTGAAATATCATCATCTTTAAACTTGATATGGCAATCTTATTAGCATAGACATGCCTATTATACAACCAACAAATATGGAGCGCAATCTTATTAGCATAGACATGCCTATTATACAACCAACAAATATGGAGCGTCACTAGCATTTAATTGGATTTGTGTTTCTGATCATTGTAGCTCTGTTTTTGGTCTCCTCCAGCCTCTGAGTTAAAATATCTGTCTCTTAAAGGAATACTTCACCACCCAAATGATCACACAGTGAGTCTCACACATGGACAAGTGTGCTGTTTACACGGAAGTGTTTTAAATATTACGTTTTCAGTGAAAATGCACGCGTTTGGGAAGATAAATGAGACTTGCATTACACTGCCTGATTTAAGTGAGTGTGTATAGGTTTGGGTTAGTTTTGATATAGTTCTGCTGTTTTTGAATGTAGACCCCTATGACTGCAATTCATCAAG